AAGTTAAGTCCCCCGCCCCTCCAAGTATACCATTACCAGTCCTAAGAGTAACCTGGGAATAACAAGGGTGCCCTTTTTGGTTTAAAGGGGCTTATAAGGGAACCTGAACCCTACAAAAAAAGGAATAAGGGCTTACTCTAAGTCCTAAATTGAACATGTATCTTATACTCACAACCATCCCAAACCTTCGCCCCTGCTACCCGTACCATCCGAATCCCTTAGCAGCTTACCCTAACATAGGGGCCTTAATATTTCGAATAGGGTTTTGAGGCCCATTACGCTATAATCGTAACAAGGAGGAACCCCCCAAAAATAGTATTGGTAACTATCTTAGGCCCCTAGAGTAAACAGCGAACCCAGGCCTCAAAACGAAGCCATACATCCGACATGTCATGGCCGGAAGCCCGACATCATGAACATCAACTCTACGGGTTAGGGCTTAAAGGGAACTCCTGAAAGTTGGAATATGGTTTCAGGGTAGGATACACTATAATTTACCATAGAAGGGTTAGGATAATCATATTCCAACTTTCTGGCTTTTACCTTAGGGCTGGGGTTATATTAAATGGTTAGGTTACATTAGGGATTAGGGTTTAGTGTTTATTCGGGTTTAGGCTATATTAGGGTTTAGGGTTTGGGGCTATATCTCCTCTACGGTTTGCGGTTTAGGAAACGAGGAATTGGAAGGGGCTCCTACAAGACGCCCTGTAGAGGTTAAGGCGAACCCTAGGTTTAAGTTTTGGGTTTCGGGTTAGCTAAGACCCGAAGCCTTAACCGTAAAACCCAGAAACCCTTATTTCCTAAAGCTCTAAACCATATAAACCCCGTAAACCCTACACCCTGCGAACCCTAAAATATTAAACCCCATAAACCCTTCAAGCCTAAAGCCCTAAACCCGCCAAACCTAAATCGTGGCGAGCCTCAGTGATGCCGTTGCCCCGGAGGTCCAATGAAATCCTTGGGGTTTAGGGTTTGGGGTTCTAGGCACTTAGGTTTCATTGTAGGGGTTTCGGGATTTAGGGTTTAGGGGTTCCGAGGTTTAGCAAAAACGAAGACTATGCCTGTATATTGAGCAGCAGTCATGCCACTGTTGTCTTTTAAGGCTATATCCTAGAGGCTCCTCAATACTAGCATTGTGGAATCAGGCCCCCTACAACGATAATAAGGATGGTCGTTTGGGACCTGGTTCCATAATGGTCTCCCTACTTGTGGCATGATGCTCAATACTCATATGACATGCTTGATTCTGCAAGGAGTCAGCCCTTGCTGGCAGGCTTCCGTCGCCAATTGATGATTTCTAGATTTCCAGCGAGAAAAGGGAGTTTCTGCAAGTTCCTATGTAGGCTACTATATTATGGCGCCCTCTATACAATAACTCCCAAAACCGTATAAGGCTGGAACCAGCTATCGCTCACACAAATACGGACATACCATACTGCTGATGGACAAAATCCTGCATGACCCTTAGGACTCTAAACTATGGGAGCTACGGTATATTCCTCATACTGGGTCATGCAGGATTTTGTCCATCAGCAGTACCATATCACCCCGTTGAACACTGCAGAGCCCTGTCGGAAAGATCCGGTACGGCGTTTAGACACTCGGAAGCCGTAACCCGAAATCACTGAACCCAATATCAGGGCAGCAACATTCAGAACAACAGCAGCGATAATATTCATACTAATGATAACCGCGATCATAACCCCAGGTTCTTGAACAGCACGAAACTGTAGAATATCCTTATATGGGCTCGTTAGACACTCGAAAACTTAAACCAGAAATCCTGAACCTCCCCAGCCCCTAAACCCAAAACCTTAAGCCCTCAAACCTAAAGACTTATGGCTGCAAAGCCGCAGACAATCCTGATGGCGTAGTTCCTCTGCAAGCACACGAGCACCCACATCGGAGATCCCTGGTGCAGACCCACGATTTGTGGTTTAGGGCCGCTTAGGATTTTAAAGCCAGGAGATCATTGCGTTTATTACGGTTTTTTACGGTTTGGGGTTTGGGTCAGGGTTAGGGTGGGGTTGAGCGGCTTTAGAGTCTATGGCTAGAGCCTACGGCTTCAGGCTTTGGGGTTGTCGAGTTCGGGTTCAGGGTCTCAGGGTTTAGGGTCTCAGTTCAGCGCTTGAGGATTCTGTGATGGCCTACTTCGGCTTCGGGGCTTCAGGGGTGGGGTTTGATGTTTGAAGATTAAGGCTTGCGGATGTCAGGCTCCCCTAAACCCTAAAGCCCCAAAGCCCTAAGCCCTAAACCCTGAAGCCCTAAGCCCTAAACCCTGAACCCTAAAGCCCTAAACCCTAAAGCCCTAAGCTATAAACCTACACCCTAAAGCCCTAAACCAGGCTCATCGGGTCTGAGGGCTGAGGGCTTAATTTCAGTCCAAAAACTAGATCCCTTAATGGGGGTTCCTTCCATGTACCCTTAGTAGTATAGGGCCTCGAATTAAGGGATCTACTTTCTGGCTCCTCCCCGGGGGACTGGATACCTGTCAATGACAACAAAATGACCCTGCTTTCGTGGCTACGGCTATGGCTCTTTTCTGAACCCTAACATAATACCCTAAATAGTAGGATCCGTATCATAAGGATCCAATCATAAGGCAACCCCTAATTTTCGGAAACTCCGAAACCCTAAAGACACTCGGGCTACTCGAGGTAGAGGTCGGGAGAAATGCTGAGAAGATGTCATGAGGGCTGAGGGTCAGGATGACAGTACTCTGGGCATCAAAACAGCCCAAAAGCCTTCTACAGTATGGTCTTTGGGCCCAAAAGCCTTAATGTATGAGTCCTTAGATCCCTAGAGGGCAAGGGAATCGAACATCTCGAACGTCTCTCAGAACCCAGTCATATATATATATATATAGTCTTATACAGTCTTCTAAGTCCTTGAAACCCAAATCCCACCTGGACCCCCCAACCACCCTCTATTGTACCTCAAATGCCCTCTACTAGGGACCACAAGGGCTGTAATAAAGGGCACTTGGGGGGTCTTGGTAAGCCCTATAAACCTTGTAAACCCTGAACCCGACAAACCCATCAGAAGAAATCAGCTTCATAAACATTAAAAGTATTGTCACATCGACCTGAATGTCACCGTACATGCAAAGAATAGGCTCGAGGTGCACCCTCGCCACTGCTTCGGTGCAGCCACTTGCGAAACACCTCGCGATGGCGCCACAGCTGATGCCACACGATGCGCAGCCGCACCCCACCCTCTCGGCACCAGCCTGCTCTAACCAACCATACCGGCAGCAACATGCGAAGCGAACTTTCAACAAACTCTCTTGTATAGGCCAAGCTGGCCAATGCTAAACCCCAGGCGTCCTGACTGAAGGATCTCATCCAAAAGCCCCAAATCCAAGGACCAATGACGCCTCCTTAAGGGTTTAGGATTCTACTTAAAGGATCATGGGACTTAGTAACTAGGGTTATTATTGGGGTAACTGCACTTGTAATTACTTATAACCCCAATTAAGGGGACTTATATAGCCATAGTTACTAAGTCCCATGATCCTCCAAGTAGGAACGCGGGCCAGTTTGGGGCTTCGGTTACTTTTGTATCAGCATTGAGAATTTACTCTTCTAGCCGCACAAATCCCCAGCAGGACAGCGGGTTACAATGCCGCAGGCCTGTGTATAGCCTACAGCGCTACTGTGTCCTACAAGTAACCCGAAACTGGCCCGAAACGCTTAACTCCTAAGCGCTAAACCTTATAAACCTAAATCCTACCCAACAGCACCCATAACCCAGAAAACTTATGGTAGAAGCCAGAAAGTTGGAACATTAGTATCCTCATGCCCTTAAGGTAAAGGATAAGGGATCCTTGCACTAATCCTCCTAAACCAATGTTCCAACTTTCTGGCTTCTACTGTATGTTTAGGTCGCTGGGCTCTTAAGGAATCTTCGTCGGCCGATCCCCGCATCGCCTCGATGCCTTAGATCGCTTTTGTTCGACGACGCCAAGCTCTTCGAAAACATGTGCCTCAGCCAAGATTCGTAGGTGACAGGGCCTTGTAAGATAACTGGAACAGGGCTTTGGGGTATACTTTAATGGTATAACTTAGCCACGGTTAGCTAATTTCGGGTTTGGGGTTTGAGGTTGACCCTATAGGCCCTACTACCCCAAACTGCGCGCTGCTAACCCTTAAACCCCACCTCAACAAAAACATCAAAGCAACCCGCAACAAATTTTACATTCTCCTGAGGTTGGCCACTTGCTGTAAGGCTCAGGGCACCCAGTCATCAGGGTCACAAGGTACCTGAATTAAGGTTACAAGAAGGAAACCTAACTATGGTGACCTTACTTACAACTCGATCTAAGCAGTGTTTCGTTGAGGGCTGGGACGATCAAGTTCGACGAACCCTCCGAACTTCGCATGTTAACGGGCTGAGGCTCAGGACGTTTAGAGGAATGTGTAGGGCCCCGAAAAGCACATCAGTAAAAATTAGGATGGGGATATCCAATAAAACCCCCTTCCTTTTGAAGTCCCATAAGGTAGGGATATCCCTATAAAATGCATATGCTTATGTCCTTTTAGGTCCCTAAATGCAGGCAGAAAGCGAGAGAACCTGCAATCAAAACTACAAATATCCGTGGGGTGGGATGGAGGCTTCTCAGGACTTTCCCAAAGGGTCCATGTACCCAAATAGTACATACGTTGGCCTCAAAGTACTCCCTACATCGATAAATTGGGCCCAAAGATTGGCCCAAAGTATGTACGATTTGGGTACATGGACCCTTAGGGTTTGCGGGCTGGAGTATGGAATTTGCGGGCTTGTTATCCATCCGGGTGGCACGACGCATGCGGAGCTGAGTGCCTGCTGCGTGCTTTAACGAGTTTCAATGCAACGCCTGTCAATTGCAGGGCGAAGTGAATTTTAAAATTGGGAATCCGACCATCCGCTGTCTCGCATCACATTGCACGTTTATAGGGCCTGGCTTGTAAGTGAAATACTGATTTAAAGTGAGTTCATGATAGATCAGCATCGATACCCGCTCAGCTCGCAGACTCGTTCTTCCCCGACGGGAGTACAGCTTCCGGTGGCCTACTACTCCGAAATGCAGACCTGGCCTGCTGTGCAAGGTCAAGCTCTGAGCATCCTTAACCTCCTGAAAACCTACTTCTATACTGAACTTAGAACCCTAGCAAAAATTATAATTTTAGCTGTTTCTTAGGGATTATAATAACCAAAAATTGAAAATCATTTCTAAGTACCCCTAAGGCTTTCTTTGGGGTTCTACGAATTACAAAAGAGTATGAGTAGGCTGTGGGGGGCTAAGGATGTAGCGAATCAATCATTGGAGCTGTCTGCTGCTTCTTTGGTCTTGGCACTTTGGCTAATGTATGCAGCCAGGCCGTCTTGTAATGTGGTCAAATCCGCCTGAAATTTGATGCGCGTGGTGTTCAGTGCTTCACTGACGGCTTGAATGAGGAATCTGTTGACTTGATCGAACCCACCTGGCTGAGCCAGAACCAGATTATCGATCATCTCCTTGTCCTGCCGGGTTCGTGTGTCGGAACGTAGGTTTAACTTACCCTAAGAAGGAAACCAAATTTCGTACCAGAGAACCCTGGCAACTTGCATCAAGTCCCCTAATCTGGTGAAACCCGAGACATAACTCGGTAAATTACTAGATAACCTTTTTACAACCCTATGAGTATGGTAAGTTGAATACGTTAAAACTTAAAACTCCTGCCATCTGCTTCTGGCGACTCAATTGAACTGATTGGCCCTTTCAGGCGTCTGAAGAGTATACGTACATAAGATCTAGGACCCAATACGGGAAATACAACATGTCCGAAGGGCCTATCTAGATAACAATACCGACAACCAAAGCTAGGACTCTTCTTGCTGATCTCATTCAGCAAAGATCCTTGTAGAACCCTAAACCCTAAACCCTAAACCCTTGAAGGGACCCTGCATAGGAAACTGGGCTCTATTAGGGTAAAGCCAATGGTTTTTGACAGGAACCCAGCCTTTGTCGAACTCGCGCTGGCGTCCTGAAGCCTCCACTTTTGTTTAGGTTTTGGGGTTTAGGGGGTTTAGGGGGTTTAGGGGGTTTAGGGATTATAGGTTTAGGGTTTTGGGGTTTAGGGGGTTTAGGGTTTAGGGATTAGGGTTTAGGGTTTTGGGGTTCAGGGTTCAGGGTCCAGAGTTTAAGGTTCAGGGGTTTGGGCTGAGGCTGTAAGGTTTAGGATTTAGGGGCTTGAAGAAGAAGCAGGAAGCACTTAGCACCAGTTAGCACCTCTGTCGAAGTACACGGAAACAGGAGCTGCAAATATTGTTAATGCCTGTATTGTGTGTGTTCGTGAACACCGGGGAGGTGTCTCTACCGGACCCTGCGGATGGCTTTCACATTGAGTCGTGACTCGGGCAACATGGAGCACTGCGGGGAATCACAGCCGGTGCAAGTAAGGTGTACATTGCACTTCTTGTTCGAAACAGGTGCGGAACACCTCTTATTGCTCAAATGCTGACCCTTTCTTCACAATGTCTCAATTTGTTTCTAAATGTTTTCAGAAATCGCGGCCTCAGGGTGGACATGTTCTTGCTGAGAGTGACGGCGATGTCCATGCTGCATTGGCCAAAGTTCATGACGCCAGAGTCAGTGGCTAGAAAGAGTCCTGGGATTCCCTTCTCTTGGCTCAAGAGTGCTGTCTGCAACAATTCAAACAAACACCAAGATCTGGTCAGAGGTCGGACGGCCTCATCCAATACCATAACCGTTCCTTTGTATCCCGTGCTGCGCAGGGCCAAATAAAATGAAGAGAATTCCCAGGACTCCCCAAGCTCACTAGAAACCTGCCACTGGTTGTTACTGAAGGTACATATCCAGTATGTCACGAGGTGCAGGTCCATCACACGGGCGCCCAGACTCGTCTCTGCATGCTTGCGAATGGCATCTACGAAATGTGCAAACGCTGTTCCCCAGTAATGCGACACGAACCACACCATGGTGCTCGGACCAACCATCTCTGCATAAGACAACTGCAGTGGCTTGGTGAGCGGTCGCACGATGTTGGAGCATAGGTAGTACATGTTTCTGCGGAGGATGAAGTCTTTGAAGGAGTGGTAGAAGTCGAGCAGCTGGCTCGCACTTATTGCACGGGAAGCACCTCTTTGGCAGGATCTTGGAGTGGGATTGGTTTGCGCGATCCGTCGAGCAAAGTTTTGCAGGCATAGGTCAAGTTTGGTGGCCTGCTGCTTGGTCAGACGTCGCCAGTGCACTAGACTGGCCACCACTGCACCACACAACATCGCGCAAGCGTCCACCCATGTGACGCGGGCGCTTCCTGTCATTTCCACAAACTCAGCCAGAAGAATACAACCTACCAGACAGAGTAGCAACAGTACCTGCCACACAGAGAACGAGACCAGGAAGCCCGTGCCCGTGAAGGAGTCCCTGCGTCTCAAATAACCTGGGCTCTTGTTAAGGAAATCAAATTAGGTTACCATCATAAGGAAACCATTTTTTTATTATAGATCTTCATGACTATGGCAACTTAAGTTATATTCCTTAACAAGAACCCAGTAACTTGTACCCATGGAGGTCTCAATGTCCAGTTCGAGTGCCACTTCTTTGCTCGGAGCTGATTGAGTAGAAAGCATAGTGGCCAGAAGCAAGAACTGGGTCTCGCCTTACTTCCCCAATAAGCCACACAAACAAAAGGTTAAACTTTCCGATTCCTAAGAAACCATAAGAACCTAAAAAGTTTAAAGGTTGGGTATTGGCGATCTAAGTCGCTGAAGATACGAGCCTGAAATGACTTCCCATCCAAGCAAGGATGCTCAGTATTCCTTGGAAATGAAAGCTTAAACTTTCCGATTCCTACTAAGCTATAAGAACCCAAAAAGTTTACAGGTTAGGTATTCGGGATCTAAGATTCTCAAAGCTAATCTGCACTCTGCGGTTTGCGCGGTCCAACAGCCAATGTCTTGCCCTTGTTGTGACAATCACGCCCTCCTCGCAAAGCCTGCAATCTTCCACTTGTAACGGCAGGCCGGCCACGAAAGGGAGCATCAAGAAGAACAAAGTTGAAAAGAGAAGAATTGGCACCACCAGGAAATTCACTGAAGCGATCGTGCATGAAGTCTTCTCCTTGTTTACTTTCACCCGCAACCATGAATTGTGGCAGTTGAAGCAGGAGGCACTCCCGGGATCTGGCGCATAGTTGTTTGAAAAGCAGGGCTGGCAAGATGCATTGTTGCCAAAATCGGTCTTGTACCAACCGGCTTGACAGAGCTGGCAAGTGAAAAGGTCGTGCTGGCTGTACTCCGCGCCTGCAGCGCATTCTCCAAACTCGCAGCTGTCGCCGAAGAAAGGTGCCTGGCAAAAACAACTTCCGTTCCCGCGTCTTTTGCTGTGACTTCGGGCATAGTCATCATCCTGGCATCTGCCTCGTGTTGAACATGTGCTGTCGGAGCTTCCAGCCACAAAGCCTGGACAAGCGTGGCAGGTATGGATGAGGCCAGCACCCGCCGAATGGACATTTCTGGCATCTGTGCTGTAGTATCCTGCAGCACAGCCGGAGCAGTCCCCGAGCTTGTAGCCCGACAAACCTTACTTCCCCAATAAGCCAAACAAATAAAAAGCAAAACTTTCCGATTCCTAAGAAACCATAAGCACCCAAAAAGTTTAAAGGTTGGGTATTGGCGATCTAAGAAACACTGGCAAGTTCCTATCGCTGGGTTGCAGAAGCCTGTTCCACTGCAAGTCTCTGACCTGGTGCAGAAGCCACGCTGAAAGTACTGCAGCCCTACAAAGTCGGGACTTTGCCATGAGACCAGCACATCAGGAGTACCGTCTCTATCCCAGTCTGCAACCGCCAAGCCGGAAATGTAGCTCTTCAGGCTGAGCTCCTGGAAAGGGCTGAGGGCTTTAGGGGTTTAGGGTTTAGGGGTTTAGGGTTTTAGGGTTTAGGGTTTTATGGTTTTGGGGTTAAGGGTTTGGGGTTTCCGGTTGAGCTCCTGGAAGGGGTTCTGGCTGTCAGACCGTCTCAACTGGAACTTCCCCGGTGGAGCACGCACCCCTTCATATAGCCTATACTGAACTTAGAACCCCAGCAAAAATAATATTTCTAGCTGTGTCTTAGGGATTATAATAACCAAAAATTTTATAAAAAATCTAAGGTTATAATAACAAAAAATTAAAAAAAACTAAGTACCCCTAAGTAGCGTGAGCTTGTTGTACGTGTCGGAATCGCCTGCGGCAACGAGGAGGTCGACTTGTGAGTCGCCATTGAAGTCAGCGGCACGCATTGCACCTTACTTGGATGGGCAGGGGACTTAGTAAGTAGGGTTATAAGTAAGGTTATAACTGGGGTAAGTCCATTTAAGGTACTTATAACTCTACTTATAACCTACTTACTAACTCCCCTGCCCTTCCAAATAAACCCTGAGTACCCTGCCCCCAAAAAGGTTAACCGCTTCAATTCTGGTAGACATTGTGTAATGTAGGGGCCATAATATTAGAATAGGGTGTTGGGGGTTCATAAATATGACTATAGTATAATTAAACCCACGTCTAATTATTAAGGCCCCGAGATAAAAGTATCAAGAGATCCCATATACTAGGTCCCTAAAGACCCCTTTAAAGGAACCACTAGTCTGATTATTCAGGCCCCTATATTACTCAGCTACTAAGGCACAGCGAAATGGATAGTCCAAATCATCAGCATCGAGCTGATAGCTGCCTTTCCTGGCATCTTCTTACTATAGGGATCCAAAAAATTATAATAGGGATATCTCATATAAGCCTCCTTAAAAGGAAGGCCAATAAGGTAGGGATACCCCCATAACATGTTTATGCTTATGTGCTTTTTGGGGTCCCTTCTTACGGGATTTAGAGTTTAGAGTTTAGGGCTTAGGGTTTTAGGGCCTTAGGCGCTTAGGGGTTTGTCTTTTCTTTATGCAGTGGGGGTTTGGGTTTAGGGTTTATAAGGTTAAGGGATCTAATTTAAGTTGCCATAATAAGAAAACCATACTATCTACTACAGATCCCGATTATGGTAACTTAAATTCCTAACAAGAACCCAGCTTCTCTTCCCAGACCCCGCCAGCTTGCTGAAAGTAGTGGAAATGGGCCTTCTTCCGGCCAGACATCGTGCATAAGATGAAGTCCATCTCGCCGTCACCATCCCAGTCCGTAAACTCCAAGTTGTCGAAGCGCACGCCACGTGCCTCGATTGCCTGATTCACTCTCAGGAAGGGGTTTGCTGCCCCAGCCATATTCTTCAAGGAGCCATTGGCCATCCGCTGCCAATACATCAAAGTAGATCCATTGCACGCAACTGCGTCCATGAGGCCGTCCCGGTTCACATCCACGAATCTTATAGGCTCCAATCCGGAGAGGTGCTTGGCCCATTCAGCTGACTGTTCCATCAAACCGCTGGAGGTTTGCTCAAAATATCGAAATCTCGAGGGGAATGCTGATGGCAGCACTAAGTCAGGAAGACCATCACCGTTCCAATCCACCAAAGACGGATCCTCGTACGCATTGATTGGCTCCACTGAACTGAAGACAGACAGCCTGCCACTGCGCTCGACATACTGCGGGTCAGGCAAGATGGAGGTGCGTTGAATTGAATCCCCCTCCACAGCAATCACGTCCTGGTGGCCGTCAGCATCCCAATCCACAACCGTCAAGGTATAAGGACTGAATCGACTGGTGAAGGGACTGGCATGCTTTGAAAAACTTCCATCAAGAGACCTCTGAAAAAAGAGGACTTTCTCGGGCGGACGGTTATATCCACGCAGGCGTACTACAAGATCAAGTGCCCCGTCGCTGTTCAAGTCGGCCGGGGTCAGGATACCCACCGTTGAGTCGAACGTAATCCCCTCGAATGGGTTTCCTGGACCTAAGCGCTCAGTGACATTTCCGGAGTTCTCATGTTCGAAATATCTGATGCTGGTTTGGCCCGACCACGAGATCAACACATCATCATCTCCGTCCTGATCATAGTCGCCCACCGCCACAGTGCATTTCTTCGGCCAGCGTCCTTCGTCAATCTGGGCAAGAAGCCTTCCCTCAGCCAAGCTGCTGTTGTCAAGCCTGTCAAGTAGAAGCAGGCTGCCATTGTCATAGATTAGCAGATCCGTGTCACCATCTGCATCCCAATCCGTGGCAGCAAAGGTCTTGTGCATACTGGCTGTAGGGAGTGACGTGAGGCTGCCATTCCTCAGAAAAGATCCCTGCACATTCTCTAAGTAGGTCAAGATGCTGCTGCCAGACGACGTTGAATGTGCAACAAGTAGGTCTAAGTCTCCATCGCCGTCCCAGTCAACTGCTTCCAGATCTTGTGTATTCTCGGGGAATGAGTCGACCCCTGGTAAATCTGCCTCTTTGAGAATGTAGCGCTGCCCGTGGCAGAAACCTGTCACAGAGCGGCACCATTCAACTGCTTCACCTCCTATAGATTGGAAGGAAGAAGCCATCGTCTCTGCCAGGATGACAACCCATACAACACTGAGCGCCATGATGGCGGGGCCGTGTAAGCTGAACGTGGGGATACTAAAACTAAAACAGCATGCAACCAGACTCTGCTGCTTTGACATCTACTTGCGCTAGAGTGCGGTCGAGCTCATGGCAACCCTCTGACTCGAGGAATGATTTTGAATTTAAGTGGAACTGGGGTCGAATACCGAATCGCCTTAAGCCTCCTCCGGACCCTAGTTTCAGGCTCTGGGGCTTGAGGTCATGAGTCTACTGAAACCATCATGGGACTTAGTACATATGGGTATAAGTATCATAATTGAGGCTCTAAGTAATTCTAAGTACAGTTACCTTAATACTAAACCTAGGAACTAAGTCCCATGATCCTCCTAGTAAAGGTTTACATGAGAATTATTCCGGCCGATCATCGGGGCTTGTTGAGTGTACATAAGGGTCGGCAGGAACCGAACCCTAGCGGCTGTCAGTAGAGATTGCAAACATCAATTTGGTCCATCTCGCATATAGAGCCGTTTTGTGGCTTGCGTGTGTACTTACGTTTCTCCCATGTGGAGGATTTTTGTGGCTTATGTTTGCTCCCTGTCTGGGATACCGCGATGCTTCATTCTGAGCGTGGGCTCGCCTCCATCATCGAACATGGACAAGGGTTTAGGGTGTAGGGGTTTAGGGAGTTCAAAGGATCTTGTCTTGAACGCCAAGGTATAGGGAAAGCAGCCCTGGAGACCACGAAACATCAGCACATGGGTGGTTGTCGAAATGATGGCCCCCGTTTTGGGTACCCTAAATATTAGGCGCCGTAGTATAATATGGACCCAAAGGGACCATAATTTCGACAACCACCTACATGAGCAAAGCATGATGAGTTGGGACCACTTCAGACCCAGTCCTAACCAGAAGCACTCACGCCCTTGTAGACTCGACGAGCCTCATCCACTGCCCGCAACACCTTTTACCCCACAACCCGAATCTTACCTGAAGTCAGCTTAGGTTGTAACCGCAAGTACAGCATTCTTACGAAGTCCCATGATCCTAAGACCCTTGGGCAGCCCTTGTGAAACCCGAAACGAGCAAATCCAATAATCAGATAAAAGAGCCTTACCCTATGCTTCCAAGGACCTTATTGTCAGGGTTTAGGGTTTAGGGTTTATAGTTAGGGTTTAGCGTTTATAGTTGGGGCCCTAGACCCCTTAAGGACCCAGTGATAAGGTCCCTAATGAGCCTTATAGTTAATGCTCGTCAAGAGACCGGACCATGGCTTCTTCCAGCCTTTCTCAATGCTGGCATTAGAATAGGGTTTAGAGTTTCAGGTTTAAGGCTTAAGGTTAGTGGTATTAGAATAGGGTTTAGAGTTTAAGGCTTAAGGTTAGTGGTACTAGAATGGGGTGCTTAGAGTTTAAGGTTAGTGGTATTGGAATAGGGCTTCTTAGGTCTGGCTGGTTTCTAGAAAGTGGTATTGGAGTGGGGCTTCTTAGGTCTACAGTAGAAGCCAGAAAGTTGGAATATCATTATCGTAACCCCTTTAAGGTAAATTATAGGGGATCCTACCATTAATCCATATTCCAACTTTCTGGAGTTCCCTTTACCTGGTTTCCAGAAGGTCTACTTTTTCAAGGCACCTCATCACGATGCTCTTGCCTACCTAGACGGTCGGTTCTCAGTTTGTTTAGGATTCCAAGAGGGTACACATCTACTACTATAATGTAATTAGATTCCCCAAAACCACTGTACATCTATAAGGATGGTTTTTGGCCGGGATCTAATTCCACAATGGTAGTTTCTATGCCCTTTGGGGGGTTTGAGGGCTGAGGAGACCGAGTGTATGTTGTAGCGTTGTAGCATTTGCACGCTCTAGGGAACCCTCTTGCGCATATGTCCAGCCATGCCGTGCCAACTTACCTTTTGCATCCGGCTGCAAAGGAACAAGCCCTCATTCTTCGAAGCAAACGAGGCAGCCAAAAATGCAAGCTGAAGGCTTGCGCACTGACAAAAACTAGTCATTACCCAGAGGGTCCATATATACACTACTACTATGGAAATAGGCCCGAAAAGACCATCACCATTATGGTTTTGGGGACCTAATTCCAGAATGATTAGTAGTGTATCTGGACCCTCTGGGTCAATCAACCGTAGAAACTATGGGCTGCTAGTATGGGCCCTTAATCTTGGGATCCCTAAATGCCTACTATATACCCTATACAGACTCTGAAGGGTCCCTAGAACTCCCTCAAGAAGGCCTAAGGGTCCATATTAGGGGCCCATACTTCTAAGCTTACCTTAAACCCTAAACCCCTAAACCCTATATGGACCCTCTGGGTTAAGCCTATAGTGAGTCTTGCCTCTCCAACATTTCTGGTGAGGCTTCGTTGGCCGCCAAGGAAAACTCCTGCATAGCGGCCGCGGTAGGGGTTTAGGGTTTACGGGCTTGCGGGCTTAGGGTTATTTAGGCGTTTAGGGGCATAGGATTTTTTTACTGGGCTATTTAAAGTAACTATCGAGAAAAAAGTATAAACTTTTGTTTCATAATGGTTCCTTTAAAAAAAAGTACTCAAGTTGTTACTCCAAAGCCCAGTTTAGGGTTTAGGCGTTTGGGAGTCAGGGTTCAAGCTCAAGGCTTGGGGATCGGATCTGAGAGTTCGTGGAACTCTTTAATTTCACGCGTCGCCCCTACTAGGGTGTACTGAAAGGATCATGGGACTTAGTAACTAAGGTTATTATTGGGATAGCCATATACTTACAATGGTAAGTAACCCCAGTTAAGATACTTTTAACCATACTTTCCAAGTCCCATGATCCTCCAAGTACGATTCAGTAGATTACCTGGACCCTCCTTATACCCTCAACTAGGGCTATACGGTCCCAAATTATGGGCATTTAGAGGTCTAGTAGAGGGTCGATGGAGGGTCAAGGTATGTTGGAAAGGCTTTACCTTAACCTACCAAAACCCACCTCTTTTTGTAGCTCCTGCTTATAAATCATAACATGGCATTTATGGGGCCCCTGAAAAAAGTACGTTTTGGCAGGTCAAGGTTAAAGTAAACTTCTGGGATCTAAGAAGGCTCACTCTGTGCAGTTTTAACCCGACTGCTGAGCGCTCAACTGAACACAACAAAAACCCTGAATGAAGCCCGAAACTGCACCAGCCGTTAGGAAACACTAGAAACCCCTAAAGACTATAATCCCTCATAGTACACTAGACCCTGTAGCCGTTAAACTCGACAACCCGAGCATGCACAAGGCCTGTCAAGCCCAAAAATACCTCAAAAGCGTCTGAAACTCGGCTAACCCTATTACGAAGCCCTTCACTAACCTCAACCAAAGTGGCAAAACCCCACGAATAGCAATCAACTAAAGAAATTTCAGAAATCAGCGATACCCTCTTGACTGAGAACAAGAGCCCGTTCACAACAAACAAATGCATAAGAGAAGGCTCAAGGGATCTGCCTAATTACTGAGAACAAGAAGGCTCGTCCCTTGGAACACCGGCAAAAACCGTGAAACAAAGCTAACCACTACCAAGAGAAGGCTTGACCTCCAGGGTGGAGTTTGCCGTGGCTGCCGACAGCAGCTCTGCGCAAACGGCGGCAGAGATGCCCTGAAACACGGGCACTCAGCGTGTACCATGGTTGTGAGGGCTGCAAGGTTTGCTTTAAGGGTCCGGGTTCTTTCACGGGATCCTTTACACTCAACAAGATTCGGGGCATTATGGGATTTCGGGTTCATGGCCTTGCTCAAACTTAAAATCTTACTTGGAGGTTCATGGCTTGTTGTAGAAAGGGCTTCTAAGTAGGATAGCCAAGGGGGGGAACTTATAGCCCTACTTGTGACACTGAACCCTGAACCCCATACTATTGCTGATAGTTCAGCGGCCTGAGTTTTACACCCCTCATCTTCACATCCTTACTTGGAGGATCATGCGACTTCGTTCTGAGTAGTATAAAGAAATTAGAGCAAATGTTTGGAAAACACCCTGAACATAACCGGAGTTACGAAGTCCCATGACCCTTCAAGCAACCCTGAGTGCTGAGTGCCCCAAACCCCATCTGTAGCACACCACTCTACACAACCATGAACACTCTGAACAGACCCTCCAAAAAACACCAACCAAAAGTCTTAAACTTGTTTGAAAGCCCCATTGCTGTGTTCTCTGGCCCCAACAGGCTCCCCATGAACTCCATAGTAGTTCCTTTTATCCCAGCTGCATTGCAGCGCAGGTTGGCCGCAACCAAAGCGTTGGCGTTGCGCAGCCACGCTGTGAGGCACTGGGCGCCTGGACCATGAAATCCTTAACCCTTTCGGATGTAGGGGATCAAGTTGCGATTAGGGGTGTTGCGACTACCTGGACCCCAAAGGTATGTAGAATAACAGCCTTTTATATTTTTTGGGCCATTATTTTGCCTACAGTTCGGGCTTAAGGGATGATGTGTTTTGGGGTTGAAGGTTTAGGGGTTTCGGGCCTAGGTCTGGCGATATGCTGATGTATTCTTTGTGTGTGACTTCTGCTTGCATGCGTCTACTGATCCCTTGCCTGAACGTGCGAGATCGCTGGTCACCGGACGTATCTTGCAATTACCTATACTATTTTGATGGGGTTCCTTACTATACTTTTTGAATGATATACCCCAAAACCCCAATTCTAGTTGTTAAAGCCCCTACCTTAGATTCAGCAACCCAAACCCTATAACCTTAAACCCTGAACTCTGAAACCCTAAAACCCTAAAAACCCTAAAACCCAAATCCTAAAATCCTAAACCCCCAGCGCCCTAAAACCCGACAACCCCAAAGCCCTATGGATCCCTTTAAAGGAACCCCTTAAAGATCCCTTTTCCCGAACCCTAACCCCTTAAACCCTAAGACACCCTTAAAGCCTTAAAGGATCCCTTCATGGTTCTGTTTAAAGGAACCCTAAACCCCTTATAGATCCCTTTAAAGGGAGCCCCAAAGCACGCGCCGTCCCCAGTGGAAGCGCTGCCCAGGGAAAGGCGCTCCAGCAGAGGGGCGGCGGGGAGGAACTGGGCCTCGAGGCGGTTGCTCCCAGAGACTCCAATATTTTTTAATTAAGGACTATACCTTAAGTCATGTTAGGAATCCTACTATAGTTTAAGGTATATTCCTTAATTAAGGGGTATTGGAGTCTCTGGGCGGTTGCTTGGAAGATCATTGGACTTAGTATGGTTTAGGCTTCCCTTTTAGGGGTACTGTAGGGCTCCTTACAGGGATCCTTAAAGGGATCTATTATGGGGGGGGGTATGGGACCCTGCAAAGCCTAATTTACGGCCCCTAATAGTCGAGACCTCAATCGATCTCGTATAGTGACCCCTCATCGACCCCGCTAAATGATCCCTATTCTTTAGAAGCTGCCCCCACCCTGTAATAGTGGTATAATAGGAATATAATAAGGCCCTGATATACTCCTTATAGTCACTATTACAAGGTGGGGCAGCTTCTAACCTATTCTGACTACTAAGGTTCCTACTTGGAGGATCATTGGACTTAGTAAGTATGGTTTAGTCTAGGGTTCCTTTTTTAGGGTACTATAGGGTTCTATAATGGGGTTGCTTCAAGGGATTTAGAAGGGTTCTATAATGGAGGATCATCGGACTTAGTAAGTATGGCTATGATCAGTTAAATGGGCATTTAAGTGATTAAATTATATTATAAGTATCGTTACCTTAATCGTAACCCTAGTTGCTAAGTCCCAAGATCCTGTAAGTGCGGTGAGGGTTCAGGGGGTTTAGGGTTACGGTTTAGGGGTGTAAGGTTTAGGCTTTAGGGCTTTGGGGTGTAGGGTTTAAGGGCTCAATATAGGGTGCCCAGACCTTCCAAAATCCCTAAATTAAGGAATCTACTTTACCTTACTTTTCCAAGAAGCTACAGAAATGGAAGGGTACACACTTTCTCCCACCAACTACTAAACTACAAGAACCCGAAAAAATTGAAAGAATAGGTCCTGGGGAACTATTTAAGATTATGGCCGGCTCCCTCAGCCTAATACTACTTATGGGATATCCCTCAGTTAAGAGATGTTAGAAGGCCTGGGTGCTCAGCGGTACTTAAGGGTGCGTGCAAGAGGGCTTGAAGGGAGCTGAAGAGGGGCCTTAATGATTAGAACAGGGTTTGGGGCTTCGGAATTTAGGGTTTAGGGCTCAGAGCGTGGGGGTTTAAGGGTTTACGGGTTTAGGCTCCAATGATCCGAATGGGGTTTTGGGTGTAGGTTCTCCTGTAAGAACAGTGCTATCTATGAATCTACAGTGGCTTCATTTACAGAATCATGAAAGTTGACCGGCAGGTTGTAGGTAGGGGTATACATACCTTGACATTGGTGCGAGGGCTCTTACGCCCGCCTTGCTAAAGGCCTAGCTAGCTGAGAGCATGCCTAAAGGTCAAAATGCCCATAAGATCAGATCTACCAGCGGCTGCAGTTGTCTATCCCTACGGGTCCATGTGCCCGGGTCTTCAAGGCTCATCGTATATACTACTCGATGTATGGAGGTACAGGAACTCTGAAGATCTCCTTAGAAACAAAATTGAAATTGGCCATTGCCAGGGTTTGGACCATCAAAGAATACAACCCAAGCACAAACACAACTCTGCACCCTAAACCCTAAAACCTAAACCCTAATCCCTAAACCCCCACAACCCGTAAACCCCCAAACCCTAATTGCTAAATCCCTATAGATCCCTTCAAAGGACCCCTTTTGGATCCCTTTAAAGGATCCCTTATAGATCCCTTTATCGGAATCCTTATAGGTCCCTTTAAACAGAGACCCGGTTCAAAAACTTAGGCGGCCACGATGACCTCAGCGCCATCCGGGCCGAGTGGATTGCTGCTCAGCCTGTAGGGTTTAGGGTTCCTTTAAAGGGATCTAAAGGGGTTTTTGCAGGGATCCATCGGGCTTTATAGGGTTATAGGATTTAAGGGTTTAGGGTGTAGGGGTTTAGGGTTAAGAGGTTTAAGTTTTGATGGCTTTCCGGGTGATGGGGATGACAGGGTGTAATTGTAGGCCTAAGGTTAGGGTTTACAGCCCAAAGCCCGCAGGCTCTAAGGACTCATACTTTAAGGCTTTTGGCCTATGGCTATGATATACAGGGTTGAAGTATTGGATGTTGTTTAGCTGTGGCGCCGGAGGTCAAGCAAATATCCTTTTATTGGGGGTTGAAGGGTTTGGGAAGAGTTCCTCTAAGGGGTCGTTTAAAGGCTGTTGCAAATTTGGCGGGTTGGTGTCGGGCGTGGAGGGCTAGGGTCTAGCGTAGGCGTCGGGGTTTTGGGTGTGGGGCTTGGAAGGCTTTATTTAATGAATGGAGAAAACCTGCCTAGTGATATAACAAAAGATTATTTTGATGATTCTGAATATCAACTAAAAGATTACACAATACTTGGAGGGGCAGGGGACTTAGTAAGTAGGTTATAAGTAGGGTTATAATTGGGGTAACTCCATTTAGGGGCCCTTCCAAGCAAGGTGCGAGGTTTGGGATTTGTGGTTTGGATTCGGGTTTTGGCAACCGAGGTTGACCCTAAACCCGAAAACCAAACCCCCAAGCCCTAAACCCCTAAACAGTTGAACCCCTTAAACCCTAAAAGTGCTATCCCTGGTAGGGCATTATTTCATGAAGTCCCCGCTACCAGTCTTCTTGTTAAAACCTGTATAAACCCCACAAAATCCCCAAAAACTGCAATAGAACCCTAAACCCTAAACCCTACGCACCACAACTCTCTTGAACCCCCCCGGTCATCTCGACACATGTTGCGACCAAGGCTCTGGAGCTCACGAAGCTCGCCCATCCCAAGAGCCTGCGTTTGAGGGGACCCGGGGGGATCAACATGTGGGGTTTAGGGTTTAGGGTTTAGGTTTAGGGTTTGGGGATCGGGGTTTAGGGCTCAGTAAACGTGGTCGAAGCATCAACATGTCACAAAAACACGCACACACAGACAGAGAGAGGTAGATAGGTAACTAGCTATCTATCTAGCTGCTAGCTAGCTAGCTAGGTCGGATGGACAGATTGATCGGTCACAGGAAGAAAGGGAGATGGATAGACAGGTGACGAAAACAATAGACAGATCTGTCGCATTGAGGCTGAAATTGAAGGGGACTCTACTGGCAACTTACTGCTAACAATTAGGTAATTAGGCTGATTAGACCCCGTACCGAACATGAAGGGTTTAGGGTTTAGGGTTTAGGAATATGAGGTGCTGACATCACAACACACTCATCGACGAGAGTGCGCACTCTTCCATTTGCTCTCGCGACGGCGACTGCAAGGCTCTAGCAATTTCGAAAATACCATACGGGATACTATTAAAGGGTACTACAGTTACAAGGGTTAGGATTGAGGATTTAGGGTTTAGGAGCGCGAAATCATAAAGTTAAACCTCCACTGTTGTTCTTGTCTTGGATTGATGTGTTGTTCTAACCGAGACGTTCAGGAAAAGACGCAACCAACGAAAGAACTGGACGTCGTCTTGAGGTAGACCGCAAACCTGAACTCGCAACACCCTAATTCCCTAAACCTCCAAAGTTTAATACACAAACCGATCGCCCTTGTACTTGGAAGGGCTGTAAGTAATGTTATGAGTCAGATGACCCCGCTTAGTTTACTTGCAAACCCAAGTGCAATCCAATCGCTCAGCAAGTGTCAGATCATCCCAACTATCGCACTCGCAACCCAGCTGTAAAATACTGGCTAAGCCCCCTGGCCCATAAACCTTCAGACTTCAAGAACCTGCTAACCCTAAACCTAAAACTTAATAGGTTTGGGTTTAGGGTTTAGGGGTTTAGGAGCCCTCAGCTCTCAACCACTAAATGCCAAGACAGCCTCCAGCAGCAGGCGGAGGGACGTGGCATTGAGGTCACAACCAGAGAAGTTGACCTGAGGTCCCCGCATGCAAGGTATTGGCTTAGGGTGCCCTTAAGAGTTTACGACAAGGCTTAGGAGTAAAGGGTTTTGGATTTAGGGCTCTTTTAAGTGTTTCGGATTGAAGGATTTTTTGAGGATTTAGGATTGCGGGGTTTTTGAAGGCTGTAGGAGTCAAGGCTCGTATGACTGCAATGGTTTAGGATTAAGGGCTCCTTTAGGGATCATTCCCCCTCTAGCCTCTGCAAACGTATGTCACCGAGGAGTGAACCTAGCAAACACCAACCTCAGGAGACCTCAAGAAGCCAAAAGACCTGAGGCGGGCGTAAGCAAACAAACGCCTTCTGGTAGGCTTGCCCAGAGGCTCCTCATATGCTACCATTATGGAATTAGGTCCCAAAAGACCATCCTTCATATGCCCTAATTCCATAATAGTATATGAGGAGCCTCTAGGTTGGTGTTCCTTTAAGGGCTTCGGAATGAGAGCTCCTTTAAGCGATCCTCGAGAGATGATTCCCCTTCTTAGGGTCGCCTTCGTGTTCCTTTATAGGAACCCTCAAAGGAACCCTTGTTAACGGAACCCTTATAGGAACCCCTAAACCCCTAAGACCTAAACTCCCACCTCTTAAGTGTCACCTTTTTGAGACCGGGGTCTCCTACCTTGACCTTGGGCTCAAGTAGGTAGAACGGTTTAGGGTTTAGAGTTTACGGTTTGGGGTTGAGGGTTTTCGGGTTGAGGGTTGAGGTTTAGAGTTTACGGTTTGGGGTTGAGGGTTTTCGGGCTTCGGGGTGAGGGTTTCGGGATCCAGCTAATGGAGCCTTATAAGGCCTTTGAACGCTTGCTCTTCAAGTTGCATACCAAGGGGGTTCTGCAAGAGTGCTATGGCTGCTATACGTGTTTAGCAAGAATGTATGGACTGAGGGCTTGCATATATATATATATATATATAGATATATATATATATATATATAAATTTTGATTATATCAGATCATATTACATTATGTTATGTTAATATAGATAGTGGAAACAGAGCTGGGCAAAGGCATCAATGTTCCGGGCATCCTCGTAGGCTAAGTCACCCGGGTCGAGGCCCAACTCTGATGCACTTGATCGTGCATTACCTGAAACACCCGAGATGACCGGAAGCACAGTGCATTGATTGCTGCTGTATGGATAATGCAGGACCTTATGAACCAGCAAGTACGGACAGAAGTCGATGAAAACACGGACCTTAGACGGCAATCCTGTTTGCGGTCCACAGCGCAGCCTGCAGTGCTGGACCCCGGCTGAAGACCTGCCAGAGTCTCAGAGGAACATGCGACAGATCAGAAAGGTTACCCACTGAACGGCTAAGCAGGGTTAGTGAACCCAAACCCGGCAGTCACCTCGGTCAGAGATGAGGAGGCATTGGCAAGGCTGATGCCACGCAGCTGAAGGCGTCCTGCACTCAGATTTGTGTCTGTGTGTGTGTGGGGGGGTGCGTGTGTACGGTTTTAGGTTTAAAGATTTGGTTGGTAGGGTTGAGGGCTTAGGGCTCAGGGGCTTCGTAACACTTCGAGGCGCAATGTAGGGCCACGAAGACAAACAAAGCCGCGGAAGCCAAAAAAGAACATTCAAGAAGCTAGTATGCGCCGACAGCTTGAGGGATCTATGCCCTACTTAAGGAGCCACGAAGGAGGCTAAACCCTAAATCCCAACGTCTTGGCCGTAAACCGCAAACCCTGGACCCTAGGCTCGCTTCCTCAATAACCGGGCCCACAAAGTCCAAACTTCCTGAGACAAACGACATATATAGGAGTTGCCGAAAATAGGGGACCCTAATATACTACCCTACGTAGTAGAATCCTTACTATAAGGACCCCCCCAAAGTGAGATACCCCTACTTTTCGGAAACTTCCATATAAGGCCAAAAAGTTGAAAGTTCAATCCCATCGGCTTTCTAAGTAAACTCCACACTCTAACAAAGATTTAGGGTTTAGGGTTAGGGTTGAGGGTTTATAAAACTTAAACCGGAAGTAATCCCTTTAACCTAAGCCCCAAACCCTGTCGAGCCTCCCCCTTGGGCGAGCTTGCCTTGGACCAGTTCAGCGACTTCCTTCTCCGATGGGACCTGGACGAGATCCAGAAAAGGGTTCTGTAAGGGCTTGGGTTCTATCTGGATTCTTTCCGGTTCAAGAATAGGGGTTCGGCTCATAACTGAATGTGTTTGGTTACGAGCTCTCTTTCCTCACTGCAGGCTCGCCAGAAAACCTCAGACGATAGGCATGCTCTACAGGGGTTTCACGTTCAGGGTTGAGGGTTGTAGGGCCTACCCTGGAGAAAGTAGAGCGACATGCTAGGCCCGGCGTGTTTCTGAACCCTCAACCCTCAACCCTAAACCCTAAACCCTAAACCCTCAACCCTAAACCCTCTGTTCTTCTTCGTGGGGCTTCAGGCTGCAAGGAAGGGTTCGAAGCTCTGCTACGGTCTATCTCTATACAGGGAACTCCAGAAAGTTGGAATATGGTTTCATGGTAGGATACCCTATAAATTACCATAAAGGGTTTAGGATAATCATATTCCAACTTTCTGGCTTTTACCTTACTAGATTCTAGATAGCGCCGAGGCTCCATGTACCAGCATCGTTCACGTGTACTTTTTTGGAACCACCGTAAAGCCTACTGTGTGGGTACATGGGCCCTTGAAGCCTAAACCCTTATGGCGGGACTTTAAAGCACCCTTTAAAGGAACCCTGCCTGGGCACATGGATCCTTACGATTACACTTCGAGCAGGAACAGTCTAAACCCTGAACCCTTGCCAACCCCAAACTCTACAACCATTCGCTCATATTACCACTAAATGCTTGTAAACTCGAAACTCGTATACACTTATAAACCAAATGCCTCAAACCCTTATAATCTATATTCCCTGCCCCAAACACTGATAAACGTATAAACCCGAAGCCGTTATAAACTTAAAGAACCCCAAAGCCTGAACCCATGAAAACTTAGAAACTAGAAGCCCTAAGCCCTATGAACTTATAGACCCTAAAACACCCCTGCCGTGTCCATCTTCGGCCTTCTTCTTCCCCATGGAGGCTGCTCGGGTTTACAGAGTCACGCGTTGCGTGAGCTTTACGATCTAGGGGTGAAGTTGAGGGCTTGGGCTTGGGGTTTCGAGGCGTTTAGAGTGTACTTGAGGGCTTGGGGTTCTACGATGTAGGGTGTAGTTGAGGGCTTTGGGCTTCGATGGGTTTAGGGCAGTTTAGGGCTAAGGGGTTTCAGGGTCGATTTGGGCTTCCTGGCCCCAAGGGGGCTTCAGGGCTCGGGGCCTACCAGGACCCCCAAGTACGTACGATTGAATAGAGCCCTGGTGGCTCTTAGAAATGCCTATACTTATATAAGGCGCTAGTATTCAGTTCTACGGTTTAGGAGCTGCTATGTGCACATCGAGCTTGAGCCTAGCGGCTTTTCTTGGGTCGCAGGAGTGAGCAGCCATGTATGCATAAGCAGCTCCCGCATCCCTTAGGGTACCATAGGGGCCTTATGAGTTAGAATGGGGTTTTGGGGTATATTCTACGATTACTATAATGAAGAACCCCCAAAAAATGGTATAGGTAAATATTATGGCCCCTATATTACCATCGTAGAAAATCTTAAAGCAACCCTTAGAGGAGCCTGTATGAGTACAAGAACCCCGCGGGTCCCGATAATTAGGTACTCGGTTTTAGGATAGTAGTTATGCAGGATACTGTTTCGGAGAGTATATGATACTCTTGATAATATAAATCGTGCATTATCTAAAGGATCCGAAACTATGGGAATTATGGTATATTCCTTATTATATCATCAACCGTAGTCATGTAGGTTAGTGTTTTGGAGAGTATATGATAATTAGGTACTAGTCGGAGTCTTCGGGCTAGAAGGCCCCTACATTATAGTACCCTAATAAGCCCCTTATCGTAACCCTAAACCCCAAACCCTAAACCCTAAAACCCTAAACCCTAAAGCTTATATGGACCCCTTTAAAGGAACCAGGCTTCCAGATGCCCCTTTAAGGAAACTTTTGGGAACCACATACAGCTGAACCGAGGCTGCTTGAACTAGGGAACCAAAATCCTGAACACCAACACACCCAATTCTGCGGATCCGTTTTGGTGCGGCGAGGGATCCTGTACCGATCTTTGCGATCCCCAGGCATGTGCCACATGCGCTACCCTCTGCAGGGCTTAGAGTATGGTGTTTGGGATTACAAGTTTCAAGGTGTGCATGTGTGTATGTCCAAACATGCTTGATTGACAGGTCAAGCAGAGTTCTGCAGCCCACCCCCCCGAAAAAAAATTCTGGCGATTGGAGGACCCTAGCGGCAGTACGTTACATGGAACAACTCAATCGCAGCAACTGAGCAACGACACTCACCATCTTAAGACATCCTACCAGCAAATTCTATAACTTTGAAACAACAAAGCAGTTTGATGCCGGTCTTGATAATTTCTGCATGCCTTAGACGGTGACACTCGGTATGGATGCAGTGATAACCATGCAGGCAGATTCGCATGCTAGCTGACTTAAACCTTAGCTTCTCATAACCCTGCGCGTCCATGTGCCCAACACTTAGGTAGCTACTTGGGATGAGGGTAATACAACAGTTGATGAAACACATCCTGCATTACCCATGATGAGGAAAAGACCATAATTCCTATAGTTTAGGGTCCTTACGGTAATGCAGGATTCATACCAGTAACCGTAGTTGCAGGTTAGTAGTGAGGGGAGTGCACGAATAGGATGGGAACACCCAGTGCTGAGGACCATGAAGCCTCTTGCAAGCTTAATGATTTGAAGTTGAGGGCATTAACACAAACAAACCAGCACTCCTGGTGGAGGGTAGCCACGTGACATGCCTGTCCATGTGAAGCGAGCTGCGTGGGAACACCACGGTGCTGGAAGCACCGTCGTCAGTCCCTGGTGGTCCAAACTGTCCCAAGTAGGTATACGTTAATTTAGATCCTGCAGTGAGTCTCAGTAAGTGTCGCGTGACTGCTGAGTTTTCGTCCTCGGGACCAGCGGTGTACACACGCTGGTCAGTCACACCGACTGCAAACAAATGGGAGTGCTCGCAGCTGATATCTGGATTCGAGCTCTGGTAATCATTGAAGAACAACTCTACCTTATTAACCTGCCACGATGAAAGCCAGGGCGTTGGGCTTCGCATGGGGGAGGAGGGAAGCTGAAAGCTTTTGCTTTCAGAGGTTCGAGCTTCTGCATGAAGATGCTTCGACTTTACTTCTGCATTGCCTGGACCCCAAAAGTATATGGAATAATAGCCTTTTATGGGTTTTGGGCCATGATTTTACCACTTTTGGGGGTCTAGGTAGTTCTTGCATTATAACGAAGACTGTAGCCTTGTAGCATGATCGACCAACCCAAACCCTGTTCGAAAGACGAATAGACCGCGATGAATCCTAGTTCGAACTTACCTGGCGCCAAAAAGCAAAGGTTTAGGGTTTAGGGTTTAGGGTTTAGGGTCAAAATGCTAGCCTCCTAATTAAGTCTCGTCCGGTTGGACATACCCCAGCAGTCCACTACTCGGCTGGTACCCAGTTGTATTAGTTACTATAGATCCCTATTATAGGCCCTATTCAAGCCCTATGCTTCCAAGGACCTTATAGTTAGGGCAGTAGACCCCTTAAGGACCCAACACTAAGGTCCCTGGATGCCCAGGGAAACGGCTTGTGCCATCCAGACTAGACGCTGGAAGACTGAACTCTGAGCCCTGAGATCACGTCGATTCCTGATGCCCTTTCCCCAAGAGCCCAGTTGCCTACTTAGGTTTACGAGGTACCTGGAGGGTCATACCCTACCCCGTTTTTAGGGCACCTAGTTCTATGGTTATGATCTCCTGTGTTGCAAAGTAGGTAGCTTAATAAAGGGTAGGCTATGAGCCTATAGGTACTGTAAAATTAGATTCCCTGCACGGTGCAGCGTTTGTGCACGGCTTAAGGTATAAATAGTACACATGTTCGAACGTAACCTTCAAACGAGTGTAAATGGCAGCAAGGTTGTCCGAGTTTTCATGTTTGTATGCGAATGGTTTAAGGCCCTAAGGGTCCATGTACCCAAACAATATATACTTTGGCCTTAAAGTCTTCCCTATATAGGTACGTTAGGTCACAAAGCATATACTATTTGGGTACAGGGACCCTTACCCCAAGGGTCCAGGTACCTAATAATCATAAACTCAACTACTAATTATCCTAAAACCGGGTACCTAATTACTGGGTCCTTTGGACCCTTAAGGTACATAGACCCTTCGGGAGGGTTTCGAACATATTACTCTATCAGCCCGAAACTCGAATCCCAGTCCCTAAACCCAGCGCGTAGGGTTCGGGGATTTAATAATTAGACTAGGGTTCTTTTAAAGGGTTTCAGAAAGGGCTGGCAAAAGGTTTCATGATTATTATTGCGAGACATCCTGCGAAGAGCTGACTTTTGAACGCAGCCGGCGAGCGAAATGATGCATTTGTGCACGGTTTGCAGTTTCGAAGCGTCACAGGCCAAGGGGGTTCACATCTTCGGGCTGGACGCATTTCTTGTTCCCTAAACCATAAACCAAAACTGGGATTCCCTATGCATCACTCTTCAGGATTGAGGCTATTAGGCTTCCAAGTTTTGGGCTTCTACTGTAAACCCTAAGTGTTGAGGACCCAGAACTTGTAGGGTTCTGCCGAGAGCCTCACCAGTCTACGACTTTGGACAGGGTTTGATGGGCGAAAGACAGATCCGTAGCCCGCAAACACCACCACAAATAGTAGGTCTGACCTTTTAACATAGAAGGGTTTAGTGCTCGTCGGTTTGTGTATTTATACATAAAAGTATATATATATATATATATATATACACATGTTTGTGTTTATTCATGTGTGTGTACTCACACTAGCATCTACATACGTATATCTGTATATAATGTACAAAATACGACATAACACCTATATACAGGCACCTTACTATTTAGACCTCTCTATAACTATCGCATATATATTTATATCATATCATATATATATATATATATATATATATATATATATATACACACATAAATATGCATGCATGCATGCATGCATGCATGTATGGAATGAGGGAAGGATGGACCAAGGGATGGAAGGATGGATGGATGGATGGGTGGGCGGGTTGGTGGGTCAGTGCGTGGGTAGGGGGTGGGTGGGCGGGCGGGCGGGTGGGTGGGTGGATGGATGGATGGATGGATCGATGGATGGATGGATGGATGGATGGATTGATGTTTGCATGTATGTATGTATGTATGTATGTATGTATGTACGAATGTATGTAAGCAGCGTAGCGTTTAGGGCTCCAGAGTAAGGTGGACAACTTGCAGCTGGCTTATCCGGTATGTGTGCACGTGTACATAGATAAGTATATCTAAACAGATATACGATACGATATGCCTGTGTATAGCCACACACACACACACACTTATGCACACCTATACATGCAAATACTCAGAGGTTTGGGGGATACAGGCATTATGCCCAGTCGACCATAAGATTGCAATACACTGGACTTTGGAAACTGCTGACTTCAAAGGTCAAGGTCCAGAAGACGCGCCCTGACACCTAGCCTCGGGGGCCAGGTGCCGATTCCAGTCATGTAGTCATTACCGCAGAGGATACGTTGCCAAAGTCGTAGAAGCTTGCCCTAAGGGTCCATGTATCCAAATAGTATATACTAAGGCCTTAAAGTACTCCCTATTCAGGTACTTTAGGACAAAAGTACCTACTATTTGGGTAATCACATGGACCCTTAGGGTTGGAGGTCAAGGAACCCTAAACCTCTAAACCCCAGCTAGACCCGGACGCTCTAAATTCCTCGCAATTTTAGGAATGTCCTTGAATTATAGTGGCGCTCCCTAAAGTAACTTAAGGTCTATTCTCCTTAATAAAGGGAGTTTGGAAGGTCTGGGCTTAGCTGGGGTTTGGAGGTTTAGGGTTTAGGGTGGGATTCAACGAGAAATCCTGTTACAAGCAGCATCAGGACATTGGAAACATGTTGGTAGGTAGGATAGTAACCTACATGATT